TTTTGTTGTTCTTTTTTTTTTTCATTTTTCTTATATTGGATTGATTATTTCGTGTGAAATTTCTTATTATTATTTCTTCTTTCGGTGAATGTATATTATTAATTTGTTTCGTGTCATAGACAAAATTTAAGCTGAAAAAAAGTAAAAAGAATATTTGACATTCATCATTTACATTTATTTAAATTCATTGCGTAGATGACGTATATAAAAGAGTCAATCTTTTTCATATATCTGTCAAATAAAGTTAATAATGTATTTTGATTTCCTTTTTCTTCTTCATCAAAAATATCTGTCTGGTCTTATTAAGCATGCCTTATTAGGCACTTTATCTGTCAAAACTAATAATATCTTCAATATTGTAATACTTTATAGCACTATCCATGACTAGTCATTTTTCTATAAGAACACAATTAATTATAACAAAGAAACATAGAATATTAAGTTTATTTTTAGTATACGAATCAGACAACATTATATTTTATAATTAGATTTTCAAAAGAATATTTGCAGTTGTTTACTTTCATTAAAAAATCTTTTTTGTAAAAGAAATCTCAGTCTATTCACTATAACTTCCGATACAAAAATTCTTTACGGAAAGTGAAGATTGATGTCAAAATAAAAACAAAAACAAAAACTATGTATGATTGCGTTTCATAATCTCGATAGAAAATAACGTATATTATATCGATCGAAAGCTGATTATGATGTCCGATCTAATAGCCAACTATTCTATTACTATATTTCATTTGTATTTGCAAAATATGAATCTAAAATAAGCAAAATTGTATTATTAAGTCTTGTATATTAAAGGAAAATTTAGTTATATTATTATTTTAAAGCTGAATTATTCGATAAAGAAAAATATAATGAACAATAGTATCGACATAGAAGTATTTCTCATATTTTTGGTTTTTACAATCAAAGAAAAAAAAACAACCAGAAATTGTGGTAGAAAAGTGTAGTTCATTTTGAGTAATGTTATTTTGTCGTCGGTTTAATCGACATATTCTTATTAAGATCGTATTACAATTGAAAAGTTCTATACTTTGATTAGCTTTCGAATATCACATGAAATTTTGATTCATATAACAAAATAATCAACAAATGATGTGATTTTTATGCGATAGAAGATTAGAGTAAGGGTGTGTCTGAGTATGACAGTAACAACTGTGTCCACATCAACACCCTACACTCACACCCATCCCTTATCTATTTTGATTTCGCCATAAATGATATCAATGTCTATGATAATTTAAAGAAGCAATGTTTAGCTAAATCGTATTTATCTACTAGAAACATCTCTATTGCATTCAATAAGAGGCAAATTGTGTTGTTTCTAATCTAGATAAAATAATTTTGATACAAAATATCAAGTAAATATCACTAGAGAACACATTTAGGTGCAGCCTTTAGTTGCAAAAAGAAACACTAGATATTTATGACAAAAAAATCTATATCTATAGTTTACTGGAGAATTTTTCGCCGTCATTATTTTTACAATAACTAAAGGACAAAATTATGAATAATACTAACAATAAAGTTACTATTTTATATAAATATTCTTGATTGATTAGTAAATATTAAACATGAATTTCAATAATATTCAATCAAAATCATTTGATTGTATCTTTTCATATATGTACATTGATTTCTTTAAAATATTATTTATTTATTTGAATAAAATCATCATATTGACTGAGTTTTTCTTCGTTATATATAATATATAATGACATTATATATATACTCAGTTTATTTTATTCAGTTGAGTTGAAAAGTGTTTTCTATTCATATTGACATACTGATCTGTTTCATAGTATGTTAATATGTATAAATATCATTTATTTTTCTATCTTTTGTTTATTTATTCAATACATATGAATTCTTCTTCTTATTGGAACAGAATGAATAATTTATAGTACTGAATAAACATAGTTCTTTTTTCTCTCTTCGTTGCTTTAAACAGCCTGCCGCGTGGCCGTTCTTTTTCTTACCTAACACAGAGAAACTCTACCTTGTTCAGACACAATAATTATATAACGTGAAGATCTTTTTCTACAATGTGTGTCCATTGATATGCATTGTTAACCTTACTGATGGGTGTTACCACTCATTTGTGTCTCAATAAGATCCGAGTTTTTCTGTACATGCACGCTTTTAGAACAATTCTTTTCCCGTTCAAAAAGTTTCTTTTTTCTTTTTCACAAAACAAAATTCATAGCAATACAATTTGTCATTTATTTTTTATAAGTTCCAGGTTATTTTTATATATTTCAAGATGAGGATGATTTGGAGGTAATGATTGTTGTGCAATTTGTACAGCACGTTCATAGAATGTGCGGGCTTTTGAGTAATTGCCCATGTTATGATGCACATTACCAATGTTGCCGTAGGACTTAGCCAAGTCAGGATGATTGAGAGGAAGTGATTGTTGATCAATTTCGAGAGTTTTCTCATAATAAGAAAGTGCTTTAGGATGATTACCCATGTCATTATGCACTGCACCAATGTTGTTGTAGGAAGCAGCCAAATCAGGATGATTGGGTGGAAGTGATTTTTGCCAAATTTCAAAAGCTTTTTCATGAGATGAAAGTGCTTCTGGATAATTACCCATGTTTTTATGCACTATACCAATGTTGTTGTAGGAAGTAGCCAAATCAGGATGATTGGGTGGAAGTGATTGTTGTCGAATTTCAAGGGCTTTTTCATGAGATGAAAGTGCTTTTGGATAATTACCCATGATATAATGCACATTACCAATGTTGTTGTAGGAAGAAGCCAAATTAAGATGGTTTGGAGGAAGAGTTTTTTGATACATAGCAAGTGATTTTTTATACAGTGTAAGTGCTTCTTCATATTTTCCTTGTTCATCTTTGATCATACCAAGATGAACATAAATATATGCCTTGTTCTTATCATCTTCGGTTTGATCAAGTAAAGCTTGATAGATATCTTCAGCTTTGTCAAATTGACCCATTTTCCATAGTACCAAACCCAGTCTGTACCATCCTCCAGAATCTGGATAACTCTCTTTTCGAATATAATCAGTAAGTCTGCTTAGTTCTGGATCATTATCAGCAGTCAGTGTCAAACTAACTTCATATAAACGATTATTTCCACCCATCTGTTTTATATCCTGGATACGAAACACGCTATGCATCGAAAATAAGACTTCCTCTTCCTTTTGGAATTTACTAATACCAGCAATGGACGCAAATGGTGTTGTTGATTGAGCAGGATTAACTTTCATAATAAAAAGTACACCCACTTGATCTGGATTTCTTGCAGCCTTTTGAGCAAAACATAGTGAAATATTGCGAACTTTGCTAGTAGATAAGAAATTATTGAATGAAACAAGACCACCTTTAGTTTTGCTTATTTCTTCAAAGTCCCCTGTAGTTAAACCTTGACCACGATAAACAGTAAAGGTGTTAGCAGCAGTTGTACCAGTATATTCTTCCTTATGCAGTTGTTCAATCTGTCGATGGAGATCACCAATGAAGAAACCCATATGTGTAATGATATCACCATCCATCATTCGTAATGCACGATTGAGCATCGGATACAGAAACATTTGGCAAGTGTACCAATAAACAGGTGTTTTCTTGTGGTACTGGTTTTCTAATCGTTTAATATTAATCATTTCTTCTTCATTGTCGGCAAAAACATCACAACAGTAATTAAGATAATCTTGGATGTGCTCCTGGTTGAATGTGATGGTTAATATAATTTCTTTGATGATCTGGGTGTACATAAAAGAAGGATCTAACTGATCCAGCTTTTTATTTGTTCCCACGAAACTCATGGGAATAGCATTCTGCTCACATTGATGAGCAGCTTCGTTGAGTGCTTCACAAATGGGTGTAATATTTGTGAACACACCCTTTATTTTGGGCCAATCTTCAGTCCATTGTTCATGATATTTTTTATTACCACAAAAGATAAATATAGAATCAACTTGGGACATATTGTGCACACGAGGCACAATATGTTGTCCAAGTGATCCAGATATAATCATGCATATCTTCTTGTCGACAATTGTTTGAATAAATTCAAGGCATTGATTACCATTTGTATATGTATTGATGTCATTAACAGCACACCGTAATTTTGTGATTGTATTTTGACAATCATCTATTGTTTCGTCAATGTTACTATCTAACCAGATTATAAGAACATTTTGTACCTGTTGAATATTGACACGTCGACGACCTTCTGCACTTTCTGGAACTGTAGATGCATTTGTTATTGATTTTCCATTATTCATTGTTTGCTGTGTGAATGGTTTGAATTGAAGTTACTGTGTAAAATTTACCAGTAAAGCAATGATCGAAACCAGTCCGTTTGATAGTTGTCTACTTCCTTTCGAAATGTTCTTTCTTTAACTATGTATAATGTCGTTATGAAAGACAACACATGGAGAACGAAAAAACAAATGATGAAATATGGTCACGGTTCACTAACCAACGAAGTAACTTGCAAAAATAAGTATTTTATTCACGTTGGCGAAGAGAAAACGTATTGAGTCATGTTTGTCATTGGAGAATCCCAAGTAAAAAACGTATTTATATAGGTAAATTTTGACTAAATTACACAATTTGATAACATAATTCGTCATCGCGAATTTAAGACACAAAATTAAAAAAAAAATGTTTAAACTAGTTTTTATCATTTTTCTTGCTGTATTCTGTTGACTGAAAGCTTGTATGTAACCGTTATGTAGATAACAAAGATAAACTTGGAAAAAAGTGCTTTTGCCATTAACAAACGTATAAAAAATGAAATTGACAGAAAAGGTCTCGATCATGTCTCTATCTTCTTTAGGTTTGGGCAGGCTCTCTTGCGAATGTAGATGTGGGTGAGTGTCGATTAACTCAAAAGATCACACTCACATCCAGAAGCAGATCGTGCACTTCTGTTCCAAAAGTATAATATTAATATATAATGAGTTTGCAAATCACTAGAAATACGTGACATATCAAAAAGAAAACCTTATTTAAACTGGCTAAAGACTTTATCATATACATACGTCTGTTCAAAGAGCAATTGTTCATAAAAACTCATGTCGTAGATATAAATTATGAACATCGAAAATAATGTTAAATTATTATTGTTCTATTAGAAGTTATAAATGACAGGATTGTTAACAATCTCCATAAAACACATGTATATGAGAGAAGCTGAGAAATCTTGCCATTTATTAAAAAATAAAAGCTCATCAAATATCTGATACTCATCGGTCTGACAAATTATTTGATAGAAAAAAATGTATGTAACTTATGTTCCAATGGAAACTGACTCGTTACGATTGTACAGCTTCAGTAGATTCAAAGTATATAAAGAAGATCTCTCTAAGGAATGATAATAAAGAACCTTTTCTGATTATGAATCTTTTGAATTATTAATGTACTGTTCTTGTTATTTCTTATAATAGAAGGTATCATTGTCTTGTTAGTATATTTAACTTGAAAGACAAGTACTACATGTGAGTTATTTGATACAAAACTAATTTTATTCTAAAACCACTTCAACTACTGTTTTCAATGCGATCAAACACGAAATTAGACTGATTACAGAGAACCATAATACTCATATTTATTATTTAGACAGAACATGCAGAAGATGAAGAGAATAACTACATTTACATTCTTGATCTAAAAATGAATCAACAAAGATGATGATTTTTTAACTGTTTATTCCTTGTTTTTGTGAATTATATTTCATGGTTTATTTAGTTTTTATTTGGTTATTTCATCATAAGTTATATAACATTCTTCAGCATATTTATTTGTTATACTAACTTATCCATCTAATAATTCACATTTTCTGATAACTTTCAGTGGAATTCACTATGTATCTGAATAATAATTCATATGAATAAGCATAACATCTCTCTCAATACTATTGAGGAACTCACAGTGAAAATGAGATGTTAATAATTTGTCATTAAAAGTGAGAGGATCAAATAGAACAATTTTAATATCCAATAAATTCATCATTGATACCTTCTTCCTTTTTGAATCATTTTTTTAGTTCATAAACTGAATTACTAAGTTCAAAAGTTCTACGAATAGAAACAATAATCGAAATATGTCAATGAATTGATTCATATTTATTTTTATATTCATAATTTGTTCGTCTTCAAAATTCTAGGATGAATATGTGTTGTTTTTTCAATGAGTTGACAACTATTGAGCAAAGAAAAGAAGCTCAGTCAATAGAACAAAATAACTAATTCATGTAATTTGTATTCGTTTGCTTGTTAAACACTAAACTGATGATATTAAAGAAGTTGAGTTGAATATGTTCTCACTTTTGAGGGTAAGATTAATTCAAGGGGGAAAAAGCAAAATGTAATTTAGTGATTAAAAATGATTAAAGGTGATTTCTGTGATTTAAAATGATTAATTTGATTTAAATTTGATTTTTGACTATTTAAATCAGCTTTTCCTCCCTTGGATAAATTAATTAATTGTACTAGTGAAATATAATATTTTTATTAAATCATTTAAATTGTTTGCTATTGTTAAACATTGAATTTCAATGAAATATTTATTCATTTAATTTCATTATTTTCTTTAAATGAAAAATATTTAATAGTTTGTTAGATAATCGTTTAATTGAGAGATTTTTTGTATTTTCTTTCATTTATCACTATAATAGAAAAATCATTCAATTTTTCTTCAACATTTTTTTATTTTAATTGTTTATTTTATATTATTTTTAATATTTAAATGTAAAAATAATTTTTAGAATTTTTTTTTAACAAATAGTTTTTCTTAATCTAATTTTTCGATTTTGATAGATTTCATTCTTATTTATTTATCTTTTTTCTTCTCTCTTTTCTATCTCTCAGTATATCATAAAATCACAAAAATAAATCTGATAAAATTTCTATTTCGAAATTTTTTTTTATTAATTTCTGTTTTTCTCCATTTAAAAGTAATTTTTTTTATTTGTCTATAAAAATAGTTTTTTCCTAATTAAATTTTCTTTCAAATTCTTTTTATTTAATTTATTAAACAAAACTCGTATATGAATTATTTTATTCATTTTGGTGTTTTAGTCTAAAACTAAAACTAACAAATATTTATTTATATATTTTGTTAAAAAATTTTTTTAATTCATTTTCATTTATTTTTGTTGAAGATGTCATCATAAATTAATGTTTTTTCATTTATTTTAAAAAATAAAAATCGAAGTTTTGTCAAATTAAATTAAAAGCATTTTTAATTTCAAATTTTTTCATATTTTTGTATTCGATGATTTCCAAAATCAGCAACATAAAGATTTTCTTCATTATCAAATGATAAACCTATGGGACCCTTCAATTGATTTGATTGATTTCCACCAACAATAATTTCACCTTCTTCATCTCCTTCACACCAACGCATTAGTCGATGATTCCCACAATCTGCCACATATATTTGACCCAAATGATCAACAATCACTCCTCGAGGACTCCACAATTGTTTGAGACTATCTCCTTGACCATTTCCACCAGCAACAATAATTCCTTCTTTTGCATCTTTTTTCCATTTCATTACACGATGATTCTCACTATCTGATATATAAAGAGAATCAACTTCATCAACAAAGATAAAAGTAGGTGTATTGAGTTGATTAAGATGATCTCCTTTACCATTTCCACCTGCAACTAATTCACCTTTTTTATCTCCTTGTTTCCATCGTCTTACTTCATTCTTCTCCAAATCAGAAACATAAATAAATCCTTTTTTATCGATTGTGAGATCACCACAATCAATATTCGAAATAATAATCTGTTGATTTGTTTGATTTTGATCAAAATATCGAATTACTCGTTCGTTTCCATAATCAGAAATAATAAAAGAATTATTCTTTTTATCAAAAATTATATTTGTTGGGCAACTCAATTGATTATTTTGAGTTCCTTGTTCATTTCCACCTGCAATGATTTGACCAGTATTTGAATTCAATTTCCATCTGACAATACGATGATTATCAGAATCAGCAATATAAACTGATTTATCAGTATCAGTAACGATCCCCCAAGGATAATAGAGTTGATTTAATTTGTGTCCTTTTCCATTTCCGCCAGCAACAGTAACTGCAAATTTTTTAAATTTATTCTTTTTTGTTTGAATTTGTTCTAAAATAAAAGATTATCTTCTTATTCAAAATCTTTTTCATTATTTTTAAATGAAAAATAGGGCGAAAATAAGAAAAGAAACTTGTATTTGAATTTGTTTTAACAAAATAAAATTTTCGTTTTGTCAAATTTTATTCTTATTCATGTAAATTAATTTATCAAAATATTCTAAATGAAAAACTTTGTTATTTTTCAAAAGAATTTTTATTTTCAACATTTATTTTATAATATTCTCAATATCTCAATGGAAAAAATATTTTGAAAACGATGGATGAAATTTCTTTTCAATGTTATATTAAGTGATATAAACAATAAAAAAGAATCAAATTATGAATAATTGTATGGTTATTGCTATAAGAAAAATTGTTATTTCTTATCCAAAGAATAATACTATTTAGAAAATTAATTTTTATTGTTACTTAATTAATAAAAATAATTTATGAATAAGTCCTATCTCGATTTTAAAGATAATCAAAGTCTTTTTTTTGGAAAAACTATTATTATTTGTTATTTAATATAACATACGTAGTTTTATTTGAGACTGAGTTGATATTTGATTTATTGTTATTGGATTCTTTGATATCGTCGCTGTACTAATCGAAGAATGATTTGGTTGAGAAGAATCTTAATAAAAAGAAAATATAATGATTCTATTCGACAATAATAGAAAAATAAACAAAAGATTGCTTAGACTACAAGGACAATTGTTTAGATTTTGAAATAATTTAAAATAAAAACAAAGCAAAGTTTAAATTTCCTCAGTAATGAAACAAACAGAGAGAGAGAGTTTATATTTTATCTTTTGAATACAAATTTCAAAGTTTCCTTTATAAAATATTTTATAACCTATACAATACAAAATGGTATTCGTTTATGAAATAAAATTTATTTGACTATCAAAAATAATTTTTTTTTAGGCGAGGGTGTGGGCGTAAGTATGATATCCATCACACACCCGACACCTGTCATTTCAATAAAAATATTTATATATACATATATATATATAAAATAATAAAGTGATATTGTGACGTTTGACAATGTCTACTACACAGATTAACTTTTTTCATAATTAATAATTTTAAAGTAGGCATGTACCGAGCCCGAGCCTATCGGGCTCGGGACTCGGTCAAGCTCGGGTGTCTGATTGATGTAGGAGTGAGTTTCTGACACCCGAGCCCCGAGCCTACCGGACTTCGAGCTCGAGAGGCTCGGTCAGGTCTCGGGCTCGGTACATCCCTATTTTAAAGAGTTGCTTTCGTATTGGAATCATTTGACAAATCTCAGTATATCCTCAAAATACAGATTCAAATCATTTATATATGAGGTATTTTTAGACTTCTCTCGATCTTATATTTATTCATTTTCAATATTTAAAACTGTTCTCTCTAAATCTCGTTGATAAAATTAATTTATAATACGAAAAACTACCTCGGTTAAGCTTCGTTTCCTCCTGTCTCGAAATGAAATAGTTGAATAAACATACCGAATGATGAAATAACTGAAATTTTCTTGATGAATTCTTGTGAATCTTGTCGAATAGAAATACTTGCTGGTTGAAGAAATTCTTTTGTAATTTGTGTTAGTTTTAATTGAAAATGATTTAAATCAATTTCATTAAATTCATTTTCTTCACGAATTTCTTTTAATTTCTGAGATAATTCTATAAACTTTTTTTCTACACCATCGATCAACTTTTGTGTCACTTTCGTCAGTGTTTTTCGACATTCTTCTGCTGTTTGTTGAATTTGATGAATTGAATTTATTTCCCATTGATTAATTTGTTGAATTAAAGAAGAATTTGGTGGATTTTGTTTTTGTTTAATAATTGTTTGTTGGAATTGATCGTGATCATTGATAATTTTCTCTAATTGTGTCTCGATTTTTTGTCGATGTTCTGTTAAATGTAGAAAACAGAATTCATTTAAGCATCCTTTACAATTGTATGTATTTTTTTCTTTGCTACACACAAAACATTGTGCTTTGTTATTTGTTGTTGCCATTTATTGAAGAATTTAAAAAAAAGAAATGAATATTTGTTCTTAATCTGTCTGCATATTTATTTATACAAAACAAAATGAGTCAAGATAGATAAATATCAGTAGGTAGTAAAAGAACGAAGAAAACCTTTTCTTTCGATAGATAAGAGATCTTCACCATGAAAATAATTTAATATTCATTTGACATCGAATGAAAACTAAGTCTCTTTAAAAGAAGATGAATTGTGAGAATTTTTTTGATCTTTCGTCTTTTATATGAGTTGGAATACAAATAATATCGTAATTTTCATTGAATAATAAAATAAAATGTTGATTAATCTTCAAAATTAAGAATATTCGATATATATAGGTGATGTTTATATTCTTATTATATTTTTCATATGTTGTATAATTAAAATTTAAATAATACAGTTAATTT